CTATTTCCCCCTTTCAATGGTCTTGCAATTTTACCTTAAGAGGACGGCTTTTTCTCCTTTGTATTTTTACTACAGCTGCATGGGATGGCATACACATAGTTTTTAGTTATGTTCTCCTCTACAGTGGTGGGGGTGTCTTACTCTGAAGAGGTGTCTGTGAAGTGTTGAACCACTTTTGAAAATTGTCCTGATGTTATATGGACCACAGATCGTTTGTATTTTCTCTGATAATCCCGTTATATAGGGTAGGCAGACTGAAGCTGTTTTCTGATTGCTGTTATCCTCTTGTAACCTACTATCCCAATTTGTTGGAGCTGCTGTCATGTAACCAGGGTAGTTGTTACATTGTAGGGTACTGCTTTTACTGATCATTTCTTGTTTGTATGTTTCTGGATCACCACTTATGACTTTTGCTTGATGTTGTTAGCAGCAAACAATACCTTTCTTTAAACCGTATGGATGGTGGGAGTTAACGTTTGGTGAATGTTGGCTTGAGGTATATGGATGTCTTGAATCCGCTGCTCTGTTTGAGATATTAGTACAATTACAAAGACAAGTTTGTTGTCATTTTCTCATTCCATTGTGAACTCTTTCGACTTACTGAGTTCACATGGTCCAGTAGTAGCTAGATGTCCTCCTGGTGTGTACTACTACTGTACTGATGCAGCATTCACCCTGGGCGGATTGAGCCGGCTTCTTTCTGTTATAAGAAGATTCTTGGGATAAATTACAGAAGTAGGGTACCCAGGCCTACTCGGATAACGTTCTTGCTTGCCGCGGGGTTCCCACAGACGCAGAGACAGGAACGACCAGAAGCCGCCATTTACCGAAGCAGACGCTCCTTGGATTTTCACCAGAGCCCTTGTTAGCCGGCGTGTGTGTCAGACCTGTCCGCCTTGGGTGGCCCTACCAGGAAAGAAGTTCCGGGCGGCATAGCTCTGACACTACCGTTTACACCCCCCACCGACTGTGAGGTAAGGGTCGCTTACGGTTAAATCACGCTGAATCACCGGTTCTCGTACGATCACCGAAGTTAAGCATCATAGAGCCAGGCCAGTACTTAGATGGGGGACCGCTTGGGAACACCTGGTACTGTAAGCTCCCAAAGTCCAACCCTTCTTCTCATAACAGGAAGAAGCCGGCTCAATCCGCCCAGGGTGAATGCTGCATCAGTACAGTACAGTAGTATGTTAAGGGTCAATCATTATCTATCCTACTTATTCTCATAACATTCATATCAGACACGTCATTCATTATAAGCATTTTAACAGTAATTCTCTGCCTTGAGTCACTCTTGAGCCTTGTATTGAATGAATTTTTTGTATAAAAACACAAGTAAATTGCAATGTTTAATCACCACTCCCATTCACTATATCCACTTGTTGACACACAATTGAAGACAAACAAAATTTATAAGAAATTTTTATGATTTTTTTTCTGGTCTTTTGCTTTTGACCGTTTCTTTTCTCTCTGTGTCTACAAAGAACATACATTTGCATTTTCAACGTCACAGTCTATGGGTCCACTTTGGTTTGAACAGATTTTTTCTATGTGCTATGTCCTTTCAGGATGTAGGCGATTGTGCCTCACCACCTCCCTCTATCCCCTGCAGCTCTCAAGAAGTACCTTCACTTTGCCCCCCCCTCCCCAGACCATGTTCTGTCATCCACTTGCTTAAAGCCGCTTGGTATGTCATGCGTTGTTTTCCTTTGTCTCTCTTTCCCTCTATTTGACCCGTGAGTAACACATTCTCCAGACCCTCCGTCCTCATTATAAGACCCAGGAACTTCAGCTGCCTCTTCCTTATGTTAAGTATAAGCCTCTTCCTTGTTTGCATCCTCTCCAAGACCTCATCATTGCTCACATGCTTGGTCCTTGATGTCCAGCCTCTTCCTTATGTTAAGTATAAGCCCTCCTCCTTGTTTGCATCCTCTCCAAGACCTAATCGTTGCTCACACGCTCAGGCCACGATGTCCAGCCTCTTCCTTATGTTAAGTATAAGCCTCCTCCTTGTTTGCATCCTCTCTAAAACCTCATCGTTGCTCACATGCTCAGTCCATTGTCTTTAGCATCCTTCTGTAGAACCACATCTCCTTCGCCTCAAATCTCTTCATCTTTGCGGAAATCGTCCAATATTCACTGCCGCAAAGAAGCTGTCACGTTCATTACCAAAGCCTGAAAACACTGTGATCATGGCTTCAGTGCCATATGTGATACACGCTTGAGTGATTATGTTTTTTACGATTCATAACTGTCGAGGTAGAAAATTTTTCCGTAGTAGGTTGCTGTTTATTTGTGGTAGGCTGGTAGCCAACCAAGGCTATCAGACTCAGTCTGTCCTACTAGACAACCTGTAGGTGTGAAATGAAGAGATGGATACATACCGTTCTTATACGTATTTGTGAGTAAGTGAATGCAATGAACCCGATTGGAATTCAAACTCAGTTCCCCTAATTACACATGCTGGGCTATTATCCATTACACCACTCCACCCATGACTTAAAATTGCAACAAAAGCAAAATCATTGTCCTTCATTTTGAAGAAATCAGCCGCAAACATTTTTTTTAAATGACGAAATCTAAATAAATAAAAATTTAATGAAAATTTTTTTTTTGAATAAAAAATTTTTAAATAAAATTTTTAAATAAATTTATAAGTAAAATTTTGAATAAATCTTTTGTAAATACTTTTTTTTAAAAAAAAAATTTTTTTCAGATTTTAAATTTTTCAAATAAAAATAAAAATAAAAAAAAAAAAAATAAAAAAAAAAATAAAAACATTTTTTAAAATAAAGAAAATTTTTAAATAAAATTTTTTGAATAATATTAAACAAAAAGAAAATAGAAAAAAATAATAAAAACCGAATTCTGTCTCTGTATTAGTACTTAGGCATTTTTTTTATTTATTATTTTTTTCTTTTTTATTCAGTGAAAGGAAGAGTTTGGGTTAAAACCAAGCATATTTATAATTTGTCTTGGCAAAAAGACAAAGCCACCGTAGGAATTAAGTTATTTGCCGAGAGATTCATAGAGCATTCTACAAAATGTTTTTTTCCAGATTACTGTGTGTGTGTTTTTTTTTTTTTTAAACATATTTCAAATATGTTAGAAATTCTGGGATGCTTGTTTACTCAGTGTGGAAAAGTATAGAGAGATGGGGAGAGGACTCAGGCCCAATTTGAAAACAGAAATTCATTAGTGTTCTTCAAAAATTGAAAAAAAAAAAAAAAATTTTGTTCAAGAAAGTTCTCATGTTTTTTCAGAAAAGCCAATGCCAAGTTTCTAAAAAAAAAAAAAAAAAAAAAAAAAAAGTCTATCTACAGACGTGAATAAGTGAGTTTAAAAGAAAGTGTTTGGAACCGACAGAAATACAACTGAGATAAAAATAGACATAAATAAAACACACAATGTCACAAGATCTAGCAAAAAAAAAAAAAAAAAATTATATATATATGTGTAAAATTTCAGATATAACTAAAAATATATCTTTAAAAGGACAATATGAATAAAGACAAAAGGAACAGTTATCTTAAACGACATGTTTTGTCCTCTGAGAGACTTTATCAAAGCAATTGTAAGAATTTTATTTTGCAAGAGGTACTTATAAACAAAAATAAAAATGTTAGTTTGACAAAATTTTTAAATTTAAGAGACACTCATAAATTTTTTTTCAAGTTAATTGCGAAGTCTAGATAAATTATGGAGGATGCTAAGTGACATAATAAACGAAAATGAGTCAATGAAGTTGATTTTTTTATGCAAATTAGTATGTAGATGATTTGAGTTTGGGATTAATTTATGTATTGTATTTTTTTAAATAACATGAGGTAAATTATGGAGGATGCTAAGTGACAATTTAATGTCTAATAAACAAAAGTCAGTAAATGATATTGAATTTTTTTTTAATTAATATTTATATTATTTTAGTCTGGCATTAATTTATGTAATGTATTTTCTTTTAAATAACATGAAGCAATGAATTTAAACATTTTCTTTTAGTTTCTTAACATTTTATAGTCATCTACATTGGCTTGGGAAAAAAAGTAATTTGTTTAGTAATGGAGATATTTGAAAAAAATCTGGGTTGCAGCTTTATATTTTGATAAGATTCAATAACGGCATTTTCAAGAAATTTCTGCTTAAGTTACTTTCTCTTTTAAGAAGTGCGGCATTCTTTGGATCAAAGTTGCGGTTGAATTTATTTCTATGTATAACTAATGTATTTGATAAATTGTTGATGATGCTAAATGACATAATTTATTGTCTAATAAACCAAAATGAGTAAGTGATATTGATATTGATTTTTTTATGCAATTAATATTTAAATTATTTTAGTATGGGATAAATTCATGTATTATATATATTTTTAAATAACATGAGGTTATGAATTTCCTTTTAGTTTTTTAACATTTTATAGTAATCTACGTTGACTTGGGAAAAGAGTATGTCTTTCAGGAATGGAGGTATTTGGAAAAATCTGAGTAGCAACTTTATAGCTTGATAAAATTCAATAGCAGCGCTCTTCAGGATTTTCCGTCTAAGCAAGTTATTTTCTCTTCAAAAGGATCAAAGTTGTGGTCAAACTTATTCCTATCTGTGGCTAACACATTAAATTTTTTGAAAAACTAACATTTTTACTTTTTATAAATATTCTTGCAAAATAAAATCTTTACATTTGCCTTGACAAAGCCCAACAGAGGATGAAACACATTGGCTAAGTTTTCCTTGTTTTTATTCATATATATATATATATATATATATATATAGAGGGAATATTTGTAATATACAAACTAATTTCCCCCTCTTGAAAATGGGTTATAAAAAAGAGACACATGCAATTTATTGGTATGAAGACACAAATTGCCAAAAAAAAGTAGGGTGGGGTTTTTAGTAAGGATATGGAAGTGGAGGGGGGGTATTGTAGTATAGGTTGTACCAGGGCAACCAATTTATTATTTTTTTCGTTAATGAAAAGGTCTGGCCGATCCTTTTGTTTTTTTTCACAAAGAATCAGAAAAACATATATATGAGTGAGTGACTGAGTGAAAGAGAGAAAGAGTGTGAGAAAGAAGGGGGGAAAGAGGGATGGGGGAAAAAGAGAAGAGAAGAAGAGAAAGAGAGAGAGAGGAATATTTAAAAAAATTAATAATAATAAGTAAATGACAAGGGGTGACCATTGTCTATCATTGTCGGAATGCAACAATGTCAGGTTTTGTTTTGTGTGTGGTTTTATTTATTTTTTGTTTATTGCATTTTAAAAATTTTCAAATTAAAGACAAACAGAAAGTGACATGAGTGTGAGATTGTACATGAAAGACAATAAAGTGAAAAAATAATACATATATATCTATCCAAATGTAAAGAGAACAAAAAGAATATAAATTCAATTGTTCATAACATTAATTTAAAAAAGGGCTTAATCTAAAAGATAGAGCAATAGTTATTTGTTATAAGTTATTACATACGAACATAGAAGTTACTACCACAAAAAAGCATATTTGTTTCGATGCCCAATTAAAACATCTCATCAGATGGTGATCAAAGATGGTCTATCTCTGATCACCACCTGATGAGATGCTTGAATTAGGTATCGAAACAAATATGCATTTTTAATATGGTAACTTTTTATGTTAAATATAATGCCTTTTACATTCAACACCATCACTTGATAAGACACCAGAAGTGTTGAAACAAAATGGCTATTTTTGTAGTGATTTTATAACATGTTTATGTTATAATTTTTGAATAAATAATTATATTTGCTCTACTTTGTATTGAGCACTATTTTAAAAATAGATTTTGGTTCTTGGAACTTATTCCATATACACCAATCCTATACTTGGAGAGATATATATATATATATATATATATATATATATATATATATATATATGTATAATATTTTTTAAAATTTTCTAACTTTCTAACAGACATTTCACACGTTAAAAAAAAAATTGAAATATCTCAATTTAAACATGCCGATCAAGGGAGACAATATCATGGGAAAAAAAAACAAAAAAAAACAACGAATATATATTTTTGTCTTCTGAAACAAACAAATTCACCCTCAGCCGAATTTTTTATTTTTTTTATTTTTGGGAGATATGAAGAGGAGAGGGCGGGGATATATCAAGGGAAATAACTCTTAGAACCTAGAAACCATGTGTGTATTGTTTCTTTCTTTAACGAAACACCGAAGTAAGCAGTTACGGCTCAATCTCAACGATGATCAACTTCAGTGTAAAAGTAAATAATTTAACAAGCTTATCAGCCACCAATGCTAAGCACAGCCATATAACCCCCCACCCCATATATTTACTAGGCTTAACATCTTATGGCAGAAGGTCAAATGTACAGACATAATTACCAATCTTTCAAGTGGGTAGGGCCCATCTACCCTGATATTTACTAAGATATGTATGGCAGATGAAATGAGTGAACATAAGAAGAGAAAGATTGTCTTGAGCCAATCTTTCAAGTGGGGAGGGCCTGTCTACCCCGATATTTACTAAGCTGTGTATGGCAGATGAAATGAGTGGACATATGGATAGAAAGATTGTCTTGAGCCAATCTTTCAAGTGGAGAGGGCCTGTCTACCCTGATATTTACTAAACTGTGTTTTCCAGATGAAATGAATGGACATATTGTTATAAAGATTGTCATATATGAACCTTTTAAGTGGTGGGGGCTTGTCTGTCTTTGCATTTATTAAAATCTGTTTTGCAGATCAACTGATGTAACATAAGGATTTGATGGGGAGGGCTTGTTTGCTTTGATTTTTACTGAAATTTGTTTGATTGACAGAAAGACAAATAAGAAAAAATGAGAGGGAGAAGATTGTGTGGCTCCATAAGTGGCGTGTGTATATGCCTCTGTTTGAAATGTGTGTGTATATATATATATATATATATATATATATATGTGTGTGTGTGTGATAGACATGCTAAATATCTATATTTCTTTCCAATGTACTTATAAGGGAGAGAGTTTTTCGTGTGTATGTGTGACAAGTTAGAACATCCACTTTGGCATCCCAAATGATAAGGACATTATTGTCTTTTTCTCCTGCCCTTATCTCAAGAGAAGAGGAAAAAGTAGAGAAGGACAAAACAGGTGAAAGGATTGAGTAGATGAAAAAGGTGAGACCAGGATGAACTGAAGACAGGGTGGGGAGAGAGGAGAAGTGCTCTCCACAGAACTTTACCTAAATGCTGAATGAATAAACCCTCTCAAAATAGAAGGAGTAAGACCTGCGACAATGGTTTTCGTAAGAGGAGTAGTAGTAGGTATTGGAATGGAGATGGTGGAGGAGAGTAAGGGTGGTTTTGTGGGGCGGGGCTGTAAAGGTGACCCCTAAACAGCTTCAGACTTTCTATAGTTGTTGGCAGGAGTGACCACATTGCCTGGCATGACATAATCTCCAATCATAAACTGGTTACTGACAGGATAATGGCTGGTACCACCAGTGATTACATTCTGCAAAAAGAAAAGAAAAATACATCAATTGTTATAAGAAGAAAACAAATAGTTTTTTGTTCTTATTCACTAAGATATATATCACGTCATTCTACGAACAATACATTTACCATGTAACCTCATACTACCTGTGGAGACATCAGTGACTAAACTAGTTCGCCCACCAGGCTTTTCTGGTGAGGAGGATGGCTAGACAACAGTCAGAATTAAAACCAAAACCTGTCAAAAGACAGACCAGTGTCATGTTATTTCACGCCTGCTACAGGTATCAATACTAAATTTCGGGGCATTGATGACTAAATCAGTTCCCTCACCAGGCTTTTCTGGTGAGGAGGATGGCAAGACACCAATCAGGATTAAAAACAAGACTTTTCAAATGGTGGACGAACCTTCTTGTAAGGTCACCAAACATCTAGCACAATGGGGTAGACAGGATCCTATAGCTATGGATGGAGCCAGTGTGGTGGTGATGTATTGCTCAGCAGAGTGCTTCCTAGACTGAAGTCAAAGGCCAAGCCAGAAGGTTACCCTGATGGTGTCAACAGACATGTTTCTGTGAGCAAGGTAACACTTCAGGTTAGGGGATATTAACTTTGGGGACTGATGATATTGGTATTTTGTTACATTAAAGACACCCACAATTTTGTACTAACGGAAGTTTTTAAAACGACAATAGTATGAAGGAATAAAACTAGTAATAAAATAATAGTAATAATGAAGAGTGTATAGAGCCAGAGTGTTGGGATAAAAAGCAACAATAATAAGATGGAATAAAACTAGTAATTTAAATAATAGTAATAATGAAGAGTGTATAGAGCCAAAGTGTTGGAATAAAAAGCAAAAATAATATGGCATATGTAAGTGTGTGGCTGCATATATATGCACAAAACAGTGAAAACAATATCCATAATCAACTATGCAAATTATGTGTTTGGGTGTGTGTTCACTTTAAAACATGCCAACACTTGCTTGGTTAATTAATTTCAAATTTTGTATGGGACACTTAGTGAGGATCAAGATCACTATTCAGTCATTATGTTCAACCATGGTTATCTTGTTACACATTAACCTAAACTATAAGGATAAAATAGTAAGAGTAACACACATTAAAATTAGTAGAATTAGTACAGGTTAGTAGAGAAATTGCTGAGTAAGAAAACTAATACAACAATAGTTAACAGATGAAGAAAAGTTCATAGGACTTATCTTTGCAAGTTTTTAACCTGAGAGTACAAACTGCTCATCATCATCATATATATATATATATATATATATATATATATATATATATTTTTAAAGAAAAAAGACCACTTTAAGGTACCATTATAATAATTTATTTCACCAGAGCACTTTTAAAGGATGATGGATCATCAGATAGCACTTCCAAAAATGAAATGAAACGAAAAATGAAATTAAAATTGATGGGTAGTGTAAGTTTTTGTAATTTAACAGAGAGTGTAAAAGGGATAGTTAAAGAGACATGGTAGAGTATTAGGGGAGGGATTAATTTCATATCTCTCAAAGTATACTTTGTATTGGGGAAGGAGGAGGACCAGACTTTGACCTATTTAGACGGTTAACGGAAGTGATATATTGAAATGGGAGGGGAGAAGGGAGAAAAGAAAAGGAAAAAGAAAAAAGAGAGAGAGAGGGAAGTAAAGAGAAAGAGGTTGTAATTGGGTTTTAGCAATTTATGTAAAGAATAGATTTTAATGCTTGATAGTAATTTAGATGCCTAAATATAATGGCTAGCTACTCTCATTTTCTAATCATACCCATCTATTAAGGTGGCTAGCCAATCCCTGTTGCAGACACCTGTTCAGGCACATTTGGGCTTGTTCAACACACAGAGGCCACTTGTGGTTTATACTGCAACTATGGTGAGCGGACCTTAGTTACAGTTTCTGGGAGTGAGCATATAATTCGTCATGATCAGCAGTTTGAACAATGCTGTCTACTCAATTTCACATTCGAGACTTGGGTCAACCTTTCCAAAGGTGTCGCGTGCTGGGATCACCTCCCCAGGCTGATAACATCAAGAAGTCATCTTCCTGACAAATTGACCATGGTGAGATTTGAACCCTGGAATGTGTGCGTGTGTGAGGGTAAGTCAAAAATTATTCACACTTTTATCCCAAGATATCTTTAGATTTGTTACACTGATTTCTGCTCATGCATGCTTTATGGCTGGTACTATTGTGGTCCCGTGATTAAAGTTCGAGCTTGGTTGTGTCAGTTTTCTTGCTGCTGTTACAGTGCAAACATGGCCACTCTGCTAGCAGTGTGCAACAAGGAGAAACAAAGAGCAGTGATTGGATTTCCCTGGCCGGAAGGTGTGTCAGGAGCTGAAATTTGTGAGAGGCTTTTAACAACAGTGCACTACCACATAGAAGTGTGTATGAGTGAAGTTTAAAAATGGCAGGACAAGCATGATGCCCAGAGAAGGAGCAGGATGCCTGTCAACCTCCACGACTGATAAGAACATTCAGCAAGCTTGAGAGATAGTAATGGAGAAATGACGAGTTATCATCAATAAGGTAACATGTTCTTTGGCAGATTCAGATCACTGCTCTTTGTTCTTCCTTGCTACACACTGCAAGTGGAGCGGCCATGTTTACATTGTAACAGCAGCAAGAAAACTTGTGCGATCAAGTTTAAACTTTGACCCCATGACCACAACAGTACCAACTATAAGCACACACGAGCAGAAGGCAATGTGACAAACTTGAAGATAGGTTATGGCAAAAGTGTAGATAATTTTTGACTTACCCTCATATATATATATGAAATACAGGAGTGACTGCTGAAGAAAACTTTCTGGCTGCATCATGATGGGATTCCAAAAATAAACTTTGATATTTAGTCATATGATAAAATTCTTGGAAGTTATTGAGACATGGCTCATTGAATAATTTAAGCATGTTCTGTCTACTTATTTTCAGTTGGATCCTTTTATATTCATGGATAAGCTTTTTGGTGTCATTGAAGGACAAGAGAAATTGCCGTGTTGATACATATTTCTTTTATTCTGAGTACTTTCAACATAGCACAATGTCATCATCAGGGTATTGTTTATTGCAAGACAAATATTGTAGTGTACATTATTTTTGAAAACAAAATTGTTGTGTTCATCTGAAAGTTAAATTTCTTACTTGTGATGTGAAGAATGCTGTGTCAGTGCGTGATTGCTGACACCATTTCAAGAGAGGTAACTAAGTATGGTTGTGGAGACTTTTTATAAAATAAGTAGTAAAATAAGTTAAAAGTCAACAAACCTATACAGTATTTGAAAATAATAAACACCACAATATTTGTCTTGCAATAAACAATATATATATATATATATATATATATATATATATATATATATATATATATATATATATCATTTTTTACCCCATGTATGGCTGTAAAGCCACAAGGGGTTACTGTGTGTGAAATAAAAAGAAAAAAAGAGAAACACGAGAACAATAGAAGAGTAATCAAGAAGACAATAGATATCGATTGACATTGCATTTAAATTTTTGAAGATCAAAGTTGGCTGGAAAGCATGGAGATGGAAAAGAGTTCCACAAGCGAGAAGTGCAAGAAAAGAAACAGCATGGAACCTACGGCTAGATTTCACCAATTCAACTGTGGATTGATGAGCCCTTGTTTGCCAATCTAATACTGCGCTTAAATCCATGAAGTCTATCTATCATGGAGAAAAACTCATCCAAACAATTACCATGAAAGTATTTATAGAAAAGGCAGAGGGAAGCAACTTTAAGGTGGTGAGTAAGTAACTGAAACTGAGACGCCAGGTCAGGACCGATAATATTGCAGATTCTTCTTTGGATTTTATCAAGAATTTCTAAATATATAGCAGGAGCATTGGACCATATGTGACAGCAATATTGAAAGCATGGATGACTTATAAATATGCAAGTGATTCTAGAGGGAAAAATTCTCTGGAACGACACAGTGAACTGACTATTTTAGCAACAAACCTAGCAATGGATTCAATATAATGTTTCCACTTTATGTAAACCTGAGAAGGTGCAACAACTCACACACCTGAATATCAGCATCAGCCATGCAGACGAGAGGCAGAAAGGGGTCTCTTAGATGATTAATAGAGAGAAGTAAAATTAACAAGCCATTCCCTGATCCAGTTAACAACAGACTGTAGGTGATTTTTGAGATCAGCTACCAATTTGACCTTATCGAACTAGTCAGATTTGCTATCGAAACAGGAGTAAATATTTGTCATCAGCATAGACAACAATTTGAGAACTGATGCTATCAGGAATGTCATTGATGAAAATTAAGAACAAAGTAAGTCTAAGGATAGAGCCCTTGGGAACACTTACGTTAGAACACAATGATCTAGAAGAGTGGCCATTCAAGACAACCTTTAGTTCATGAATTGATTAAGATAGATTGAATCAACAACTAAAACAAATTATCACATTTTTCTTTACTTTTTAATAAAAGGTCATTGATTTATGACGCAGGGACATAGGGCTACAAAAAATGTCATAACCTATATATATATGTATATATATAAACAATACCCTGTCTGGTGGCAAAAGTTGCTAGTGGCATCAGGAGTGGCAGTATTGCCTTAGCCACCTAAACTGTGTTACCTTCCCTAGTTGGCAGGGTATTGAACATTATTCACAACCTATGTAGGAAAAAATTATATATATATATACATATATATATCGATAAGAGGTCTGATTGTTATAATTAAGAAGCAAGGTATTAAACTTTTTCTTAAACAAATTCCAATATCAATTTGAAAGTCACACCTCTAAACAGGTGAACACACACACACACACATATATATATATATATATATATATATATATATATATATATATATTAGATTATTACAATTGGTTTTTCAAATATTTCTAGTGGGTGCAAAAGAAAAACATTTTTGATGTTAAATAAAATTGTGAGTTTTATGAATCATATAAAAAATACAATAATTACCAATATATATATATATATAT